AAGATGGAGGGTAAGCATTGTCAAAAGGTTACAATGGTAGTTGCACCAACCATTGACAAAATGGTGCAATCCATGTCCTGCCACCATTAGTGTCATAATTTATGGCTAATTTATCTTACCATTGATGCCTATAAATATAGGCATAAGTTATAGAGCAAAATGAGAGAGAGTGAGAGTGAAGAGAAGAGAAAAGAGAGAAATTGAAGGGCTACCATTGTCAGTAGCTGCAAGCCTGCAAGGACAACAATGATAGATGGGAATAGAGTTTGAGTGAAGTGATCCTCCTTCTTTATGTGTGTTATAACTCTTTTTTTATCTATCTCTAATAATATTGGCTCTTCTTCTGTGAATATAGAAGATTTACAAAATACATAAAATATTATATGTCAGGGTGATTTTTAATAAGCATTTATCAGTACATCATTTATTCGAATCCCCAACATTTCTCCCCTCTCATTCGTATCAGGAACGACAAAATCCCAAAAACAAAGAGTATTATACTATATGCTTTGTTTAAATCTGCAGAAGGGAATTGATCACAAGCAGTAATGGAAGAGCAACACGGCATCCAAGTCCCAAGAATTTGCTGGCATTACAACAACTCTGTGTGTCCAAGTTTGTAGTAGACTAGGACAATGACAAAACATGGACAGATCATTTTATTTGTCCCCTCCTCTGCGTATCTCTGGTAGTAAAATAAACGAGAGCTTCTTTCCTTTTTCGCTGTCAAGTGATGGCAAACCAGTACCCTAGATATATTGCCATTTCATTCAGCTTTTGCATGCAATTAGTTGCCATCAATTTGATATACGATGCAGACTTGATTTAAGGTGAATGGGGTCTCGGGTAAATTTATTAATGAGGTATTTTAAAATATTTAAAAAGTATTTTTTTTTTTTCATGTTTGACAAGTGAGTCTTGGACAAGGAAGACGGCCAAGAATCGAAAACAGCATAACGTCACTTGAGCAAAATCTTTTCTAAATAGAAGCAGAAGCCACTCATACAATTTAAAAAAAGACGGAGATCGAAGAAGCCACGCCATGATACATACACTTGCAATATTAATCGCCCACATGAGCTACTACTATGTCATAACAAGTGAGACTAGCACGAAGCCTTCATCCTTGTATGTGTTTAGAACGACTCTTAGAGTTGATGAGAAATTTTGTGGTGGGTGATTAACGATAATCCTATTAGTTACTTCTGAAATTCACTTTAAATACTTCTATCTAAGCACTGTAAGATTTTCCGTCAAGATTCGAAGAACACAAGAAAGTTAAAGGAAAAAATTATCAGTTTCTTATAGTCATTCATTCAAAGTTTAAGATAGCAGATAATGCTCCAGGATATAAAAATTGTTCCTCCTGCTATAAAAATGGCGTGTTCGATTAGAATACAACACACGGAGACCTGCTGAGAGTAAGATTTGGAGATATTGAACAGGGCGGGCATCAAGTTTAGGCTGCTATTGCCTCTGTATCTTGAAGCTGCCATGCTTGGCAGATTAGGATGGGGAGAGGTATTACAAATGCCTGTGATGTGTGTTAAATAATTATCAAATTCCATATGTGGAGAGATCTTGGTTTTCCTGATGTTATAATATTATAGGTAGTAGCATCAAGTATCTGGGTGGAAAAGGGTCTAGAAAGTTAAAAAGTGTTCGGTAATTTTTTAATGGCTTACTGAAACTACTACACATCTTGTCTATTTATAGCTTTTCATTTGAGTTTTAAATGCTCCAGATTGATTGATTAATTAATTAACTAAGATAATCATGATCTATGTTGAAAGATGAATTAAAATAGGTGTAACAAATCAGAACTCGGTTATAACCACAGGTTGTCTCTTAGCGGTGTTTCTACCACACATTAGACCTTTCTTTTATATGCTTTTATCTTCTAATTAATTGGTCGATTATAAGTAACATTATTAAGTTTATGTAAATATATATTTATTGATGATAAATATATAAATTTCTTTATAAATTAATAAACTATTAATTTATCATTGAATAATATTTTTATATTAATTCAAGATAATTATAAAAATTAACTCAATCAAACTCTTAATTAATTTTTTTATATTTATAAATATAATCTCTATGTATTCATTTTATTATAATTTTTAATTTTTAATATATTTTTTAATCAATTCACACCTAATTAAATTATTTTAATTTAATTTTTTATTATTGATTTTTAATGTTTGTGACTTATTAAATTATTAATATGTTAACTCAAATATAAATTATAATTCTAATTAAATAAAATTAAATAGTTTAATTTATTACCGATTCAAAAATTAATTAATTAATTAATTTATATTTATATATCATTTTTATCCTCTAATAATAAGTTGTTATGATTATTTAAATATTAAAAAAGTTACAAATAATTTAATTTAATCTTTGAAAAACTTGTACTATCATCGCAGGTTTATCAGGCCATCCTGCAGGGATAACAGCCTCCTGGAACCGTCGACAAATTAAGGCATTGCAATGTGCGCATGCTATCTTCATGTCGTGTCCTGGCAATTTTGCTTTTCACTGTTCACTGTTCATCAAGAATAAGATCTCTGAACAAATTTCTGTCATCGTAAACGATTAATGGCGCCTGTTTAACTGTTTGAAAATGGAGCAAATTAAGGTTTATACATAAAAAAGCAAAAGCCTAACAGGTTGCTGTGGGATATATAGAGTTTTTTTGAAGGAAAATACTATAAAAAACTGTGTATCTGAATATTTAAGATGTTAGTTGGACGTGGTCATCAGGAGATCAAGATAAAAACTGAGCTAGGTATGCCATGCCACACAAATTCTTTATATATATATATATATATATCACGTGCTGCAATCCTAAGCATATTTCTGTTGATACATTTGCATGCTACCCAATTAAGATTACACCATGCCTCTTTGCAATTTGTGCAGATCTGAGACATGAAAATTAAATCGTACTAGTTCTAACCTTGAATAAAAGAGAGTGGATCTAGCAACGCTCTTACACGAAAATAAAATAAAATAAACACCATATAGCTTAAAGCCATGATTTTCCAGCATCGATGGTGTTTTGAGGAATATTTTAATCATATTGTATTTATTTTTCCCATGTGTTGCGAGAAGGGTATGCGGTGGCAGATGCAAAACAAATTTGTGACAATATTGACTCTAGATTTATTTATTTATTGTTTGTCATTTATTTTTTTGCTCTTGTTTTATTTCCTAGCTATGAGTTTCTAGCTCGCCTTTCATCTTTAAATAAAATCTTTACCTATTGTCATGAAAAATACACAATAAGATGTTCTTTCTAAAAATGACTAGCGAAACCAAAGTTATTAAACATGGTTTAATTCATAATCTAATTTAAGGATATGGTTATAGGTTAGATATAATCATCTAAATTGAATTGGGTTGGTTGATTTAAAATAGTGCTGTTTTAGTTTTTTTAAAATAAATTTTTTTTTTTTTTAGTTCAAATTGGATTTTGATTGGCTAGCCAAGTCAATAATAATTAAATTTTACTTGATTTAATTTAAAACGTGACTTGGATTGTAAATAATACTAGATGAACAGGAGACGGCTACTAAGGTTAAGCCCTACGAATCAAACAATTTTGCAACCACTTTCTTGTAATGTTTTCATTTTGAGTGTCCGTGCCTTGTTATGCATTCCTGAAATACCAAGTCCACCAAGGAGACAGCTAATCTTTGTCTTAAAATCCTAAGTTATCTCCTCAGACGAAGACAATGGCGACAACATCGAGAGGGATATGGCCGCATCCAAAGAAAACATTCAAGGACATTATCGTAATTCGAATACTTCAGAATCTGCCGATCCTGGGTAGTTGGGCAAGCTGGGATTCTTGTGCATCGTGCGGCATTAGTTTTATGACAGAAACTTACCGACATAACCTCACAATACCTTTTAATTTACGCTTGAGACATATTCACTGAAAACGTCGCCCCTTCTTTAGAACTTCAGATCTTTGAAATGAAAATAAATAAATAAATAACCTTGAAATGGATTAAAAAATCCCAATAAATCCTAAGAATATAAAAGAAATATCCCAAATGATGGGTTATTTACGTAGCGTACAAAATTAGTGAAAATAAAATAGATATTTTTCTATGTTCTTCCTGTTTTGACTAAGAATATTTACGTTTTTATTTTGGTGTTTTTAATCTTACGTCCATATTTATTTTCTCTCGGCCAGAAACATGCCCTCAGGTATTTGTGAATGAAATTACTTATATGTCCTTGATAATTTGTTAAGGTTAGGTGATACACGAGGGGCTCTGTTGTGTTTTGAGTCCAAGGCAAGTGAAGGTTGCCTTTTCTCTAGCAGGAAGTCAAGTCAGCCTTTTTTATGCACTATTGAACCAAACATGTCCCATTTGCTGCTGCTGCAGGTTGGACCGACCCTTCTTCTACAATTCAATAAATAAAAGCGACTACTCTAAGGTGGTCAAAATGACGGTTTGGTGCATTACACCATGTTTTTTTATGATCCCCATGACCTTCTCTCTTTGAAAAAGAGAGAGAGAGAAGAAAGAAGAAGAAGAGAGTTAATGGGAAATGATAGGAGTCTTGGGAGTTTGGTTCTTGTGTCCCTTTATACTTGCTTTTTAAGAAGCTTTAGAACTATATTTACTTAAATTATTCTTCCTAAATTAAATTAAATTAAATGGAGGATTGTGCTTCTCTAATGCAGTAGAAAACATTTATAGAAGACTATCAGGCAACACCCTTCAAATTCAAAACACTTTCTCATCAGCTAATTCATTTAAAATCTATCCAGTTAATTACATTACATGTACATGTAAAATCAAATTCAAGAAGGGGCAATATTGTCAATCAATCTCACCAATTCTTAAATTTTTTATGATGAATATTGCTGCTTGCCTTGTTCCCACAAATAATCTCATCTCACCCTCCTCCACATCCAAAATTGAAAATAAATAAATAAACTGAGAGAGTGATAAATGCCTCCAAAATTTTTCCTCCTCAACAATATATATTAAAATAAAATAAAATTAGGGAGGGTTTTCTTTCTTCCAAGCTTTTGTGTAGTCCTATATTTATATACTGCCTCCTCCTCAGTTCTTATACCCCCCCCCCCCTCTCTCTATTTCTTTGCTTCTTTTTGGCAATTCCCAGATTCCCCTTGAGGAGTTTCTGAATCCAAAAAAAGAAGGGAAGAAATGGGGGAGGAGAAGAAACCGCAATCACTCGGTGTATGGCCTACTGTTAAACCTTTTGTTAACGGTGGTGCATCTGGTATGCTTGCCACCTGTGCTATCCAGCCAATTGATATGATTAAGGTACAAGAAAGGATGTTTCTTTGGATTTTGGGGGTTTGTGGTTGATTATTTTATGTTTTCGTGCTCTTTGTGATATGAAGTTTGAATCTTTTTCAGCTAAAATGGCCTTTTAGATCTGGGATTTGAGGGTTTTTTTTTTTAAGGTTTTGTTTGGTTTGATGGTGTAAAGTGGTTTGTTGAAGTCTGTGTTTTGATGGTTGTTTGTTGTTTTTGCGCTTTGTGCAGGTGAGGATTCAATTGGGTCAAGGATCAGCTGGTGAGGTGACCAGGAATATGATAAAGAATGAGGGTTTTGGTGCTTTATACAAGGTTTTAACAATTTACTTTAAACATTGGATTTTTGGTTGCGTGATGTTGATTTAGTTTCTCGTTTATAAGATCTGTGCTAAAGGATGGATCTTCATTGCTGTTAAATTTGGAGCTCAGCTAGCATTTCACAGGGAAAGGAATTAAACTTTCCAATTTGAATGTTTTAAGAGGAGGTGTGGTTTGTGCTCTTTCGATAGAAAATTGATAGATTTGATCTAATATAATATGTCCTCTAATTTGTGAGATTAAAACAAATTTCTGAGATCTGATATTGGTTACTTGTTTGTGTCTTAATTTTTGGAGATCACCTCAGAAATGGCATCAACGAGAAGCATTTAACTTGACCAATTGAATTCCTACTGTCTTTTGAATTAAGACGTGTTTTGTTGTTGTTAAATTTAAATCTGGTTCCTGTTGTTTGTGCTCTGTTTCTCATTACCATATTAATGATCAGGGGCTTTCTGCTGGACTATTGAGGCAAGCCACTTATACAACTGCCCGGCTCGGAACATTCAAGTGAGTGTTTGAAAATATTTGTTATCAAACTATAATGTTGTTGTGCATCTTCTAACTTCTATTGTCATCAAGCTTACTGAATTCCTTTCTGTCTTTGTAAGGATTTTGACCAGCAAAGCAATTGAAGCCAATGATGGGAAGCCCTTACCTCTATATCAGAAGGCTTTGTGTGGGCTAACAGCTGGTGCAATTGGAGCATCTGTGGGCAGCCCAGCAGATTTAGCACTTATCCGTATGCAGGCTGATGCCACTTTACCTGCTGCTCAGCGCAGAAACTACTCAAATGCTTTCAATGCCCTCTACCGAATTGTTGCTGATGAAGGGGTTTTGGCACTCTGGAAAGGCGCTGGCCCTACTGTTGTAAGGGCAATGGCTTTGAACATGGGGATGCTTGCTTCTTATGACCAAAGTGTTGAGTTTTGCAAGGATTCTCTTGGTTTTGGTGAAGGTGCTACAGTGTTAGGTAAGATTCTTTGCATGCATGATATTTATATACTTGTATCAATGAGTATTAATTTTTCAAAACTATTCCATTGATAGTTATGCACGCATCAGTTGAGCATGGCATGAACAATCACTGGGTGCACGTATTACATAGATATAGTCAAAGATTTGAAAAGTGGATCTTAGTCTAGCATGTTTTTTTCCTGTTTGTTTCTAAAATGTATGTATTTTTTTTGTTACGCCATCTATATTAGGCATGTTCATTGATTGAATCTGACATTCGAATCACCATGTGGCTAATATTTCATCTGAACACAGTAAGCATAATGTGTTTCAATGGCTAACAGCTCCCACTATCCTCTTTATTTCCAGGTGCAAGTAGTGTTTCTGGATTTTTCGCTGCAGCTTGTAGTCTTCCATTTGATTATGTCAAAACTCAAATTCAGAAAATGCAACCTGATGCCCAAGGAAAGTATCCATACACTGGCTCCATGGATTGTGCCTTAAAGACACTCAAGTCAGGAGGACCGTTCAAATTTTACACTGGATTCCCTGTTTACTGTGTCAGAATTGCTCCTCATGTCATGGTACTTATCTTCCCCCTCCCTCCTTCCATCCATCCATTTGTTTCCCCATTGTTCATGACTTTGTCTGCTTAGCTATGACTGATTACATAACTGTTTTTAGATCAGCACCTAGAGTTCTTATTGCAATGTTTTGCATGTGCAGATGACCTGGATATTCCTTAACCAAATTCAAAAGCTGGAGAAATCGGTCGGGTTGTAGTTTCCTGCAGAGACCGAATTTGCAATGAGTCAAGCTATCAAAAATAACAGCGCTTGGTTGTGTGCTTTTGTTGTAGTTTCTGGCTGGTTTTGGCGGTTGACACCCTGTTTGACTTTCAAGTCAAACCAATTATTTTTGAAATTCTTACTGTCGAATTTTAAGTAGGATTTCCGAATTTTATGCGTATCAGCACCTACAATTTATTGGGTGTGGAAGGATTTGAATTTTTCATAAAACCCCATTTGAAATCAATAGAGCTCCTCCTCATTTCTGTCCTTGAGAAGAGAATTAAAAAATACATTTTGTACTTGATAAACAGGTATAATGGATCAACTTTTGTATTCTGAAAACCTCGTAATTTGACCTTGGATCTGAGCATGTTTTTCTTCATCCTGCCTTGTGTTTGTTTTCTCTGGATGTTCAGCACCTTAAAAGTTACAAGCCATGATGTGAACAGCCATGAATTGGGTCTGGATAAAGCTAGATTCGGTTCTCGCTGCGAAGTGGCAATATATCAGGCACTAGTACAAGTCTCATTGAGACTTTTCCGGGGTGATGATTAACAACTGGATTGCAATGAGAGTAATTTTAGGCTGTGAGGTGTTCGATCCTTGTACCACGTTATGTCGAAGGAGGATGGAGATTGATTATGGGATGAGTTTCTTACCAGGATATATTGAAGGACTATAATACACCATTATAGTTTGAAAATAATATTAATATAATTTATATTAATTATTTTTTAAAAAAATGTAGAGGTTAATGTGTTTTTTAAAAATAAGGATGACAAAAGGAAAATTGTTGATTGCTCTTAAAATGACTTTCAACTTTATAAATAATATACGAAGATTGAGGCAACCATGCCAAAAATGCTTCTCACCATGCCATTTCAACAGGAAACCTAATTCAAACAAATCCAATTCATATTTTATCTCCTCGTTTGTTTAAACCTAATTCAAACAAATCCAATTTATGTTTTGGAGGTTTTTAAGAATAAATTGAATTTGAAAATTGAAAACAATAAAATATTTTAAAAGAAGAATTTAACATGAATTTTTAATATTCTCCAATATTTCAATTAAATGTTATGGCATTTTTATTTTTAAATCTATCGATATTCTATCTATCCTATAATGCTATTACTTGTACTCTAAAAAATAAGAAAAAATAGATACAAGAGAATATAATAAAGAGTAAATTATATTTAATCCCTTGATTTTCTATAACATTATAACTTAGTCTCTCAATATTAAAAAATCTACGGTTATATCCTTCCCTTTAATGCCTTGCTTATAAATGAGTCCTTTTGGTAATGCAATGTTAATGCACATTAAGTGTCTCTGTGATTTATTTTTTTTTATTTTTTTTAGAAATATATTAAATATATATATTAAAAATTCATTTATGATATTAGCACATCAAAATGATAAAAACATACACAAAAAGTTAATTTGAAGAAAAAAATTTAATTTTTTTAAAAAATATATTGAACTGCAATGAAAAAAATCATATAAACACCACAAAGTGTATTTTTAAAGCTAAAACTTTGATTATTGAACAGTTTAGTATCGTGCAGTAACCAAAGGAGCATCATGTAAGGAGAGAATGGGAGTGGAGGAGATAACTGTAGTTTTTAGGAAACCAAGGGACTAAATTACAATGAGACTGAGAGCTGAGGGACTAGATAATAATCTACTTAACAGCAAATCAAAATAAAACAAAAGATGATGATGTCAAAATTACCATCGTAGCCTTTTTCAGTGCAATTCAATCCAGCAATTTAAGATTTTCTCCCCGTCTCTCTTTCATCTCACACTAGATAAGAGAAATCAAGAATGTTTTTTTAAGCATATTTTTTTAATAATTTTGAAATAGTAATATAAAAATAAAAATTATTTTAAAAAACATGCTTTCTAGCATTACAATACCACACACGGAAACAGTATTGGGTTGCTGCGGTGCCCGGATCAGCCAGCATTTGGATTAGTCTATTCTTTACCTTTAATTCTTGCTATTATCATTACAGGCAAGATTAACACCCTCCTCGGTCCAAGATAATGCAGCCTATCAAGGCCAGAAACCTGTTGCGTTAATTAATCGTCACCTCTCAGAAAAGTTGGAATCAACACTGGTTTCCTTTGTTTAGGCCCTCTTTTCTTCTGGTTCAATAACTCACCGGACCACACTGGCTCACTGGTCTCGGCTTTTGTAAACTGGACCCTGCATTATATATCAGCCCTGTTCAGTGCTCATGTGGCAGTCGAGAGAAAGAAATCTTCTTGAAGGAGTTTCCACCTTGGCTTGAAGTTAAAATCGATACCTCCATCACCCAGAAAAGCAACTCCCTCCCAATCAGACTATCAAATTGCTACACTTAATGGGCTACTCGACCAGATTCATCACCATTGCCAGTTAACATATGATTATATTAGCATGATAACTTCAAGGAAAATATCTTTTGGCCTCTGCTGCATAAGATGTTTCATCGTGGGATCATAAATCCCGTCGTATTGGAGACATGGTACATTCTTGACCATCCAGTGGTCTTCCCCTCCATTGCATGACAATCTTTGGGTGGAGTCATCTGGTATCCCTGCAAATGACAATTCTTTGAGGTCTTTCAAGTGCTGGATTCCTGAAGGCACCTGTCTCTGTTGCGGGCAAGCTCCTATAGCTAGCTCTTGAAGAAGGGGCAACGCTCCTTTTTCTATTATAATGGAATTCAATCCGGAAAGAGAGAGCCACTTGAGCTTAAGAAACCCTCCTTCAAAATGCACTTCCTCTTCATCGTATCCACAAAAGAGCCCAAGAGATTTTAAACTGGGCAAAGCTTGAAAGACTTTAACTGGATCATCATTCAATCTTGAAAACACTAATCCCAACGTAACTAGATTGTTCAGTTTGGAAATCCAACATGGAAACCTTTCTGATTTCCCATGAAGGTATAGACTTTGAAGGCGAGGAGGAGGAGAAGACATTGTTTGCGCTTCAAGAATCTCATCCTTTTTGACTGAAAAGACTGATTGTGTTTGCAAGTATTATCTCCTCTAACGCAGTGCATAAATCCCTTCCATATTCTCGTTTCAAATCTGTGATCCCCAATTTCCTCATCTGCTCCAACATTTGCAACTCATTGATTAATCTCACATCATGATCTACTTTAATTCTATGAAGTGTTTGTAAGAACTCGATCACCAATACTTCCACGTATCTTCAACGTGCGAGTCTTTTCGTGAACTCCCAGAAGATGTCGTAGTTTTGGGAACCTGCTGATCTCAACTGGCAGTTCCTCCACAAAGGAATTGCTCAAATCTATAGTCTCCCAAGTTGTAGAGCTAACCGATGGATTTTGGGAGTTTGGACACTTTAGCATCCTTTAGGCTTGAGTACCTTTGATGCAACAAGTTTCCCAGTTCTTTGGGGATGCGATCTATGGGATACCTTTCAAAATCTAACATGGTCAAAAGCTTAAATTTTGTAAATATTGCAGAGATTAAAGGCTTCTGGACATCAACTCCATTGAAGACCATGACAGAGCGAGTTTGAGACTTGGTGCTGCTGCTGCTCCTCGAAATGTTACTAATCACTCTTTTGCTTATGGAGAGTCGTCGCCGTGCTATGCCTTCAATAGATGAGCAATTCTTGGAAATGTGGCAGAAACTCAACTCCATTGAATTGGAAAGAATGATGTCACGCCCTAAATCATGAACTCGACATGTTCTAAGAATTCCTTTCAAGCCAGCTTCATTCAGCTGAACCAAACTTCGATGGATAAGTTCAGTGAAGTATTCTTCTGCTGTCTTTTCTAACGTCATGCCTTGCTATTATTGTATAAATCCCTCAGCAATCCATAGTTTGATTAGTTTACTACGCCTGATGGAGAAATCCTCTGGAAACATACCAAAGTGTAAGAAACAAGATTTGAGGTGGTAAGGCAGATCATTGTAACCAAGGAAGAGAATTTTTGTGACATTCTCAACATGCGGATCACAAACCAGTGCCGAACCGAGGTTATCAAGCAACCTTTTCCCATTCGAGAACCACCTTTTCCTTGGTTGCTAGAAGTCTACCAACAGCCGCAATTGCTAATGGCAATCCTCCACACCTTCTAACAATGTTATGAGATAATGCCTCCAAATCTTTAGGACATATCCCTTGAAAGTCAAACTTGAATGCCTTCTTGCAAAAGAGTTCGCATGCCTCTTGTTGAGGCAGAGGTTCCATCTGCTAGACATGAACTAATGAAGATCGTTTGCAAAAGTTAGCAATATCCTTGTTTCTTGTTTTGACCAATCATCCACTTCCGTTATCATTGTTGAACAAAGCATGCTCCACATCTCCCTAGAAGCCAATTTCCCATTCATCATCAAATACAATGAGATATCTCTCTTGTCGTAGATATTCTCTAAGCTCATATATCAAGGATGAGACATCCATGGCAACAATGGTTTTAGGGACAAGCTGTTTTTTGCCTTCATAGAGTTTCTTTAGTATGCTCGTCCTTATCATATGATTGAGACACAGTGATCCACGCACGACATCCAAAGTGCTTCTTCACTTGGTGATTGTCATAAACCTTCTTAGCCAGAGTGGTCTTCCCTTTGCCGCCCATACCAACCAAGGAAATCATAGTCCTTTGGGATGTTCCGCCTACCAAGTAGAGTATCATCTCTTGGAGATTCAATGCCAACAAGCTCACCTTCTTCAATGAAAAGAGATTCTTCTCGGGGATCATGCAATAAGACTGTTGTCGCATTGCTACTTGACGTGACATGCTCTGACGAAATGAACAGGAATCTTTCACTTCTATCCTTGATTTCGTGAAGTCTTGCCATGATATCTTGAATCCCTGATACTATCTCATGATGCGGTTTCAATTCGCTAACCAAGGAACAGATGCTATACAGGAGGGAGCCCATTAATCCACGTTGTTGATCACGATGTTGTGCCGCACAGGCTTCAACCATGTACGCATCAATGACATCTTCAATGCAGTAAGCTACTTCTCTTCCTTGTTTTACCCATGCTTTCACACCTTCACTGATTCCTTCTTTATCAGCCTTTTGAATCCGCATCTTTTAGGAAAGCCCTGATGATTTCCAGATCGTCTTTGATACAAGCAACTTTTTTATGACTCCATTCAATAGTTTCACTTTGTGAGTTAGCAATTGAACCAACTTGTCAATAGCAAGACTCATTATTGCTGTTGGGAATTTCGACCGGTGATGTACTGATATTTGCTCATAGGAGGCCAAGCATACTGACACAATATTTAACGTGGTTCGGCAAAACCGCCTACATCCACGGGAGAAGCCATTGCATTATGTAGAGAGAGTACAAGATTTACAACAATAGAGGAGGAGAAATCATCCCCTTTTTCACAACTTTCAACCTCACTCTATTTCTCTCTTTTTAATGCTGCAATGGCAACCCACTCTCTCCTACATTTCTCACATCTTTGGCTCTTTTCTTTCTCTTATTTTGCTCTCTCACATATGCCTCTATTTATAGGCATTCATGGAGGCTCTTCTTGCTTTGTTGTCAATATTGGTGGCCACCAACTCTAGCTCATTTAATAATGGTGGCTACCAATAATCAATGATCAATGGTTTGTGCTTTATATGAAATGGCAACCAACCTAATAATTGCTGCATCTGCCATCTCTTTTACTCTTTATCAACTTCGATCCTTTTCTAATACCTCCCGGTCTTGTGACCATCCACATAATCTAAAGCATAGTTTCGTTGCTAGTAACACTATACATACATACATAAATATATATATATATATATATACACACACATAATCTAAAGCATAGTTTCGTTGCTAGTAACACTATACATACATACATAAATATACACATAATCTAAAGCATAGTTTCGTTGCTAGTAACACTATACATACATACAAATATATATATATATATATATATATATATAGATCTATAAACCAATCATATCCTAATTCTCAAGAAATGAAAGTTTTAAGCTCAAAATGATTTAATCAATAAAGTTATATATAAGAGAAGATAAATTTAGTGATTTTTTTATTAACCAGCTGCTGCTTCACCTCTTATATAGCCACCCGTGGAGTTGAAGAAGCATGACAAAAGCAGCAGGCCACTGCCCCACTGATGCAATGAAAATCAGACCAACAAGTCGTTAACTTCAGGGCCCGTGGAATTAGTCGTGGTGCACGCAAGCTAACCCGGACACCCACGTTAATCTAAAAAAAAAAATCAGACCCACAACGTGTGTTGACTAGCTAGCGGTCTGTTGACTTATGGTAGAAAAAGTTCATTATTGAAGTGCAGCCTTAAATCAACAGTCATTTTTTTTATGACTTTAACGAGGATGCTAAGCTTAAAGACTTGAACCCTGCCAACCACGTTGGCTTGCAGAAGATCTGTGCATTTTGCCCTTGCTTAACATGATTTTTTGCCCTCTTTTGAGTTAATTACAGCTTAATTTCATGAATTTAATTAATTTAGCGGCTATGTCAATTCCACATTGCTAGGGTGCTGAGCTCTTGTCAATATCCACTGATCGATTTTTTCCCCTAAAATATGTACCCTTTATTTTTTTTTTAGCCTAATGTTTTTAATTCGGTAAATTGGCCCTGAATTTTTGCATCAAACACAGATCAATGAGAGTCATTAACGATATCTGTTTTTTGTTTGTGTTCTCAAATTTCTGGAAACAATCCAAGTTCTAACGACTTCGAGAATTCCTGTGGTTTTGATGAAATTGGAGAACAGGTGAGCTAGTATTCTTTGATTTTCTCTATAAAACTTTGTCATGCAACACCGGCAGGCTGTTTGGATTTTGATGAACTTCACTTCCATTGCTCTTGACTTTCTTACCACAGATGATGAGTAAGATGGAGGACTCGAGGAAAATAAATTTGAATCTTCGAGGTTTCATCTCTGACTTAAGGAACTCAAAAAATACCAAACACCTTCATAAAACTTTTCTGAAAGAAATCCTGAAGAAATTTCTTAGAATGTAATTTTGGAGCAAAAGAAGTGTTGGAATGCATCCTGCTCCAGTGTCACTGTGCTAATTAAGGCAGAGGAGAAGCCAAGAGGCGAGAAGAGAAAATAGGAGCAGCCAAGCTTGCCCTTGAAAAGAATGGTTTTGCTCTTCCTCGTTACAGAGGTAGTATTCGACCATTCAACGGGAGACACAATATGTTCAGAGTGTGGTCTTGTCTTAGAATCTCACTCGATCGATGAAACATCAGAGTGAAGAACTTCTGCGAATGAATCAGGAGATAACGATCCAGTTCGTGTTGATGGATCCACCAATCGTTTATTAACAGATGGTGGTTCGATTTTTGGATGCTTTGATCTAATTCTAGACCTGGACCAAAATGCAGTAATGACATTGATGATGACATCGACTCTATGCAAGCTGTTGAGCTGGCTCATCCGACTAATGAAACTGCCATGGAAACTTCCGTTCTGATCAACTAGAGTCTCCTCTGTGCTTGAAAACGTATCATTATCAGAGGGCAACGGTGCACCTTGTGCAGACTCGAAAAGATACGCAGCGGCTTTGCCAAACAAGCTTGGCGGCACTTCGAGTTGCTTAAATTTCTCAAGGAGGCTAACATTATAAGAACGTTTTTGATCAATCTCTGCCCGAGCTATGCTGAGGGTGGAGAGATCTAAATTTTTTTTATAGTAAAAATAATCAATATAAGTTTTCTGTTTATTTTAGATATCACATTAACTGTAATCATTATGCTATTTAATTTTTTTTTATGATTTATTAACATATCAAACACAAGGTTTTAAATTAAAATATTGTTTTTTTACTTTTAAAAAATCATT